AATTGAATTCATTTGAATAAATTGATTAAATGATTTTGAAGATGTATTTTGAATTTTTTAGAAGCTTGGATTTCGGAGTATTAGGTTTCAAACTTTAGTGCTGTTATGTTGGATGTCTGTGGTTGTTTCCTCGCTAAGCCACTAAATCTGTCGTGTTTAAACAATTGGACAATTTCTGAATTAGTTTAACAGTATGGCTGGATCGGACATACACTTCGAAAGAAATATGCCATAGAGAATGTCACTGCTGGGACAGAAACACAAGTTTGTTATACCGCCCTTGGTTGGAATCCGCAAGGACAGATAAGTACAAACTAGGTGACAGAGCTAGCAAAAAAAATTTAAGCTTCAAGATGCTAGAAGGTGCATCTATAAAACTAACATGCTAGCCTTGAATGTATGTGCAGCTAACCTAGTCAGACTCCGATCATGTCTAATCCCAGCACCATTTTGAATACATTCAGGCACGTAGCCAGGGGGTGGATTTGGGGGACAAATACGCCTTCGTCTTGAGAAATTTTTTGATTTTTCTAGAGTTTTTAAACTCAAAAAATACCCCCCCCCCCTCCTAAAAGTTTTCCATAAAAAAATTTTTTGTCCCCCCCTCTTCAAATTCCTGGCTACGCCCCTGAATATATTAAATGAAAATTGCATGAATTTAAAGCTTTTTCCATTTATGAATCCTCATTTTCCTTTCCAAAAATTCAGTATTATTTCCCTCTCGAAAATCCATTACAAGCTTTAATATGCAGCCAGTCGGAAAAATTGCCAAAAGAGAGAAAAGAAAATCAACAACATTAAAATAATTGTGAAGCACATAACACGAATAAGATGCCATTTTAAAGCCTACGATAATAGTAATAACGATAATGTTCCTTCCCTTTATGTATTAACACCTTTCTTTTTTCGGTGAGACCATTATTATCATCCGAATAATGATACACAAAATTCCACAACGATTGTTCTGGTACATAAAGCATAAATGTATCATTTTATTGTTATTTTGTGTGTATGTGTGTATAATAAATGCATAAAATCGTGAGTATGCCTCGAAATAAAATAAAAGTTGTGTGTTAAATCTGATTTAATTTTATGATCTGTCGAGGCTTTTATATCGAAACTCTCAAAATAAAAAAAAAAAAATAAGAGATTTTCTTCATGTTCGCAATCTCAACAGCTGTTCAATATACAATCAGAAAATGGGAAAATGATTTGACACACAAATGTGTGTGACAAGTGGCATGTTAGACTTGTTAGACTTGAGAATGAAAAATAAAACTGCTGAATGACAATGAGATGAAAAGAATTTAAAGGAATTTGTATCTCTACACGGTCAAATTTGTAATTTTTCTCTGATGCACGCGCGTTCTGCTATTCATCTTCTTATTGGCAATAAAATTTGATTCTTATTATTTTGATCTTCTTCATCTTTGAGGTTCATGATTTTTGAATGCACGCATGTGGTGTGGAAAATTAGAATTTTATTGTGTTGTGTTTTGAATCTTTGAAACTTTGGAGCTCCAACTGAAAGCTCTTTGTCCAAAAACTAGATTGATTGCTAGCTCAGTGTTATTTCTGGGGTTATTTAAATTTAAATGAGTTTTCGAAGTTGGATTTTTGATCAAAAAGTCTTTAATTGTCAATCATATTCAAGATCCATTGATCCAATTCCTTTGTAGCTAGAAAAAACAAACATAAAGTTGGAGATGGTCTATTTATTGTTTCAGTTGAAGTTTGCTATAAATTTGATTGAGATTTGTTATTTTAAGGTCAAAGGACCGGATGATTAAAATGTTTACATTGATTTATATTCGACAGTAATTTTTTTTACTGATAAATCATTCAATAAAGCTGGCACAGCTAATTATAGGTATCAAACAGAAGCATAGCCAGACATTTTCAATGATAAAGGGCAGGAGGAAACTCAACATATTTGATTAATTTTATAGATGGACGAGGAGGTCTGCATGAACCTCAAATCCATCTGAATACGCGACTGATCCGATCAGCACACATTTAAATTCATTGAAATGTCTGTCACCCGTCAGCAGGGTTAATAGTATAATTGAAACCAAATGTGTTGATCGGGTGGTTTTAAATATAACAGCTAAAATTTTCGCTTATTGGCATTCTTACGAATGACGTCATTGAGTCTTAGTCCGACAGACATTCTGAAGAAGCAGCTAAAATTACATCCGTTAAAAAAAATTCTTTCAATTCCCAAAGCATCATAAATAATCCACTAACCCAATTCAAATCTCAAAAAATTACCACAATTGTCATAATTCAAATATCCGCAAAAATTATCCACAATAAAAGTCGTACCAGTCATCAAATGTAAACATAAGAGCGCACTTTATTGCATAAAAGAAGGTGGGAAATATCTTAAACATTTACGTTTGTGTCTATTGTATGCAAATGAGCGTAATATATTGAATGACTATACAGCACGAAGGAAAGAGAAAATGAGCAACGGTAGCAATGGCAATAAATTTTCAAAATATACGTCAAAAATCGTATAAACAAAATTCATTTAATGGATTTTTTGTTTAACTGCATAAGTACGTGATATTCGACCTCATCTCACTTGCCTCCAATACTCTCATATCCATGGCCATAAAGTATAGAGCGCAGAAAAAAAGATTAAAATACTATCAATATATCAACACATATGATAATACTCATTGAATAATGAAATCTTCAAGCTGTCGATTTGCAATCTGGCATTACTTACGAAAATGGAAATCGGTAAATTATACACAAATTGATTGGCATGTTTTTGTGAGTAGAGAAATATTCAATTGAATACTAAGAAGAATTTTTTTGTGTGTGAATTTTATCATTAAATATTCATTTGAAGCATTTCCTTAAAAATAAACCTTTTTTGCGTTCGTCTCGACTTTTTGCTTGTTGACATAAATTGAATAATTTTATAAGATTTTTTTTTGTTCTCTTCTCTTTAGAATTTATGAGCAAACTTTTTAATATTCTCAAGTAATTTTCAATTATTTTGCTTGCAATCGAGATGAAGAAAGTTTTTATCTTGTCATCAAATTGGGTTTTAATTTTTGTGATGCATTGCAATAAAATATTCAAGTTAATGACTTAATAATGAACTGCAAGAGTCGAAGTATATTATTATGCATTGAATAAGCTGGCAGACGTCGAAAGTTGGTACAAATTTTTGAATTGTCAACTCTTTTATCACAGCATTAATAATGGGGCCGTTCACTTATGACGTCCAGAAGAGAGGGGGGGGGGGGCAGCAAGAAAATAACAATATAAATTCCTGGCCCCTAAGCAACTCCTAATAAATGATGTCATTCAAATAAATCAGATAAAAATCCAGGGGTGACGAATGGCTTATATTTCTGTGTTCAGAAATCAAAAAGTCTTTTATTTTCTCGTTAATTTCAAAATGTGAATTTCTAAACGCACGCCATAAAAATATATTTTTGAAAAATTCACATTTTCTGAATGAATTCATTAAATCAAATGATTAAATATTAATCAAGCTTTTAATCGTATTCTAAACAACGACTTAGTTGTAATTAAGACAATTTTTAACAAACAAATTCAATGTTTTTTTTTAAAAAATGTTTGATAGTATTAATGTGAATTCAATTTTTTTCAAATTTAACGGAAATCTTTCTTTTCACCACCCCTGACAAAAATAAATATCCCCTGACTTTATCTTATTCTATTCCTTCAAAATATTATAAGCTACTCAATTTTATGACCATTTTGATAGTCAATAATTAGCTTAGTTCATTAAAATCGATTTCATCGCTTAACAAATCATTTAACACATCTTATGACTTGCTATCTGTGTGTTCAGTCATACGGTAATTAAATCTTTTTTTTTCTCGATCGCAATTATTGCTGAGTAAACAATTTTTTTAATTAGCACGACTTAATGCTTTGAGTTGGCGGTGTGGTTAGAGTTTTGGGTTATTCAAAAGCTTAGTGTCCGAAGCAATTCATTTTGTCGCTGATTCTATTTAGGAAAAATGTGACTAGAATTATTTGAGGTTAAGAATCTAACAAAATTCCGCCTTTGACTATTGAATTGTATCAAATAAAGCTATGACAGCATAAGATTTAATTTTAAAAAAATTTCCATGATTTTAAGCCTCCCACTTATTTCCATGGGAAGCTTCACAGAAAAATAAGAGTGAGCATAAATCCGCTTACCTAGCAGGCCACAAACAAATACACGCAAACACTTTAACACCCATGCATTAACACCTAAACTGTAAATACATTGTGGGAACAGCTTTTCATTTATTTTTGTTGACAAATTTGTTCCTCGACTTGAGTTTGTGGCTCTTCTTTGATAATAGAAATTTTCTACGAGCAATGACAAATTACGCAAAAAATAAAAAAAAACTTTTTAAAAAACTACGTTTTTCGCGTAGACTAAAAAGTAGAAAATAACTTTTATTCTTGGTTGTAAAGAATTTGGTTTTAAATTTTCAGATTATATTTAATAAATTTTTATATCCTAGTCAATATTGTTCACAAAGTTTCGAATAAGTGCACTTTGATCTTATCGTATAACTCAACAACTTAAAAACGTGGACGCATTAATTTAAGTTTATCATAAACTATTGATTTCACATAAACTTATTTCTCCTCTTATAATGCGCCCACGTTTTTAAGTTGTTGAGTTATACGATAAGATCAAAGTGCACTTATTCGAAACTTTGTGAACAATATTGACTAGGATATAAAAATTTATTAAATATAATCTGAAAATTTAAAACCAAATTCTTTACAACCAAGAATAAAAGTTATTTTCTACTTTTTAGTCTACGCGAAAAACGTAGTTTTTTTAAAAAGTTTTTTTTATAAAGTATTTTATTTTCTACTTTTTAGTCTTATTCTAATGAAATAGAGAAATAAAGATTATAGGGGGTTTATAGGTTACAGGTGTGTTGAACTCCACTTCGTTGCACTTCGTTACGTTCAACTGTTTATAGATTACATTAGGTTTATAGGTTACAGGTGTGTTGAACTTCACTTCGCTGCACTTCGTTACGTTCAACTGTTTATAGATTACAGTAGGTTTATAGGTTACAGGTGTGTTGAACTTCACTTCGTTGCACTTCGTTACGTTCAACTGTTTATAGATTACAGTAGGTTTATAGGTTACAGGTGTGTTGAACTTCACTTCGTTGCACTTCGTTACGTTCAACTGTTTAAAGATTACAGTGGGTTTATAGGTTACAGGTGTGTTGAACTCCACTTCGTTGCACTTCGTTACGTTCAACTGTTTATAGATTACAGTAGGTTCATAGGTTACTGGTGTGTTGAACTCCACTTCGTTGCACTTCGTTACGTTCAACTGTTTATAGATTACAGTAGGTTCATAGGTTACTGGTGTTGAACTCCACTTCGTTGCACTTCGTTACGTTGAACTGTTTATAGATTACAGTAGGTTCATAGGTTACTGGTGTGTTGAACTCCACTTCGTTTCACTCCGTTACGTTCAACTGTTTATAAATTACCAGTTTTCAATGGGAAATTAGTAACGACTTTCAAAATTTTTCATTCGTTTTATAAAATTTAATTTTTTTAAAGCATTCATTAGTAAAGTACATTAAAAATCACTCGTAAAGATTTTGTGTTTATCCGAACCATTCCTACTACATAACGTGTGGATTCTTAACATAAAGATGCAAATCAAATCTATATGTAACGTATTTATAACGGATTTTCAAATTTAAATTCAATGAATATCATTCATATGTTATGCAAAAATACGTCAAGCCGTTAATAAAAAGAAAAGTCAATTTAATTAAGTTGGTGAAGTGTTATAAATAATGCAATACATTTAAAACAGCATAAATTTATGCTCAATCAATGTGTGCTAAATGCACATCGCATATTAATAGTTATTTTGCATAAATTCGTAACGGACTTGTGCTTAACGGTTTTTTTGAAAATTCAAATTTTCACTTACGAATATTCATGAAAAAATTACATGTCAACTTTTTTGTCTTACCAGAATATCTTTAGCTGCTCAAATTTATGGTATAATTAATAATTAGTAATATTAATTAAACTATAATGAATCATATAAATGACTTTAGAGCATCACAAGTATAATATTTTAAACAAATCAAAATTTCATATCATTGACATTGGATTTTTCTCCCAAATAAAAAAGTTTTATTAAAATTGTACTATAATTAAGCATTTTTGTGGTTCCAATGTGTTAAAATATTGTATTGTCACCGGGAATACGTGTGAATAAAAAAAATGAGCTCGATTGGAGCAGTAGAAGTGGTCGAAAAATTGATCGCAAGATTTGACCTCGACAGACAAATAAACAGACAGATAAGAAAGCAAGTTAAGAAAAAACGTAGTAAATAGTAAAAAAAATTCATAGCAGTAAAAAATCACGACTGCTATTTAATTCCAATAAGTTCATTAATTTATTTAACAAGAAAAAATGTGGAAATGATTTTTTTTATTGGAACAAGAAACGGAAAGAATTGATTTATGATTAATACGTCCATAACGACGAAATATTTCCTCTTTTCAAAGATTCTGACCTACCCTACGCTAAACATCAACGAATGTCGTGTTTTGGATGCAAATTGCTTCTTTCCTTTTTCGACGTCGCTTAGAAAATTTTCTTCTTCTGTCTTTGTGATCGAAGCACAGCAGAAAAAGCGATTGACAAGGGAAATGAAATTGTTGGAGCTCTTTCACGACGAAGCACCTTTTTGTGACCTTTTCAGAAACAGCAAGCTACGTCCTTTTATTTTCTAATGTTGTTGGGGCTATTATATATACTAACCTGGTTCATAAATATGAAACAGCGGAATTCTTTCGATAATATTTACCTTTTCCTATTCTTTGCTTTACTTTCCATGTTGGAATTTTATTTTTAAGGGAATTATTTTGGTGTGCGTGTTTAACTGGAATTTTGTTAAGGTAGTCAGTTTGGGTGGGGTAGAATTTTAAAAGGCCAGTAAAATATCAAAAAGTTTCTATGGATATTAATGTCCTTAAACTTCAAAGTATAGGAAAGAGTATCCTCAACGTGAGCATTTATGAATCCTTGTCATATCGACAGTGCTCTATATATAAGAATTGAGAAATCGTTGTATGTTGGGAATCGAATCCAAGTTCTCACAAAATAGGGTTACAGATCTGTAGTATAACCACTCGCGCCATATAGGCTTAACTCTAGCACTGGCAGATTCGTCTTTATATGGCTTGATACCCCAGATTCCACTTTGATCAGACACCACAGGCAGTTTTAAGTTATGTCACTTCCTTAAATTGTCACTTAGGGTTTACCTAGCCCGAAAATCGAGAAAAAATGGGTTTATTTTCTAGCTTGATTTATTTTAAATGTTAATGACTGATTTTTGATTTTAACAAAAACTGCACAACATTCCAGTCAAGTTTAACCAACAAGCTTCGCATACTTATTCGATTCTCTCAATTTTCTCTTCACAAAACAGAAAGGTTTATTTAATAATTTTTTATAATTCCTCATTTAAACTTTTTAAGGTTCATTCTTCTTTGCTTCCCTAACACAGTTTTGAGTTTCGGTTATCGTTGTCAATTTGACTTTTCGAATGTCCCAAAAAAAGGAAAGGAGTTAAGCTCGGTCTTTTCAGCTCCCAAAACATAATTAATTAAATTTTCAGAAATTAAAAAGAATATTTTTTTAAACATTTTTATCTCCTTTTTTCGAGACTTTATAATTTACGAATAATTAGGTTCACATTGTTTTTGGGATCAGTTCCGACCGAGAGAGAATATTACAAAGCAGAACGAAAATTGAATAAATGGATTAGGAATTTTGAAGTTTTGAAAGTAAACTGTTTATATTTCTCGTTAATTGATTAATATTTAAAGTCGAGACTGTAATGATCTATCGTATAAACTATACAAGCTTTAAATAAAACCTCTGCATTTATCTTACTTCGCACCTAACACTGTATGAAGTAAATAAATGAAATGAATGATAGCTGTTTTATCTAATAGGAATTTAAAGTTTTACGTCATAGACTCGTGAGTCAGACTCAACTTCCTGAAGTTTTTCTTTGTGTTTAATTTACTATGATCGCTTTTGGAACGGTGGGTTGTAAAAATAATTTAGAATTTGTTTGTTTTTCTTGGAGATTTTCATTTGTATTGAGGAAGAATTTAGAATTTATTATTCAAATATTTGAGATTCTTTAAAACTATTTTAAACTGAACTTCTGTTTTGAAGTGTTTCAAGGATCTAAACCTGATATTTAAATAAACTAAGCTTCACAGCGAAGTCTGTCGAAGGTAAAGCATGGAAAGAGCCCAGCCTTTTTGAGCTGGAGGCACTGTGAGTTTAAATGGAAAAGGAGCTTCTGAAATTTGACTTGGCCTGGGATTGAAGACAAAACCTTTTGCACGTGAGGCCAACGCTCTACCATTTAGACCATTGAAGCCATTTCACCGCTTCTGTAAGGTCAGACTTAATATTTATGGGATGACGAAGGGTTCTAAAGTATTATTTGAAACAATATGATTATAACGGAGTCTTATCACAGATTCATAGACCCAGTTGGATTTTACATGACCTCTAGCTTCTCTATTAACCAAAATTCTTTAAATTCTTAAGATATTCTCTTTCAAAATTTCCATAAAAACTTTGACAAATCCAATAATCCATAAAATTATAATAAGCTTGAAAACATGACCTTCGTACCATCTTAATATTCATTTCCTAAGTAATCTAATCTAGTCTCAGATGCATAAAGTTCACATCTGCTCACATTCAACAATTTTTTTTAAACAAGGAAATTTCTTCCAATTTTATCTCTTTTCTTCATATTTTCTCACGATGAGTAAGCAACAATGTGAATCAAAGAAGAAAATTATAAATATATTATGACCTTCATGGCTGCATGTCGATCTATGTAGAGCCGTACAAAAATAACCCCCAAAACACCTTTTTCACACCAAACAATTGTCTTGGAACAGAACGTATGGTTTAAACTTTCCTGAAAGCCACAATTAATTAAATATTTACAAACTCATATGATGCATGAATTGAGTTATTGAGCAAGCAAGAGAGAGCGAGAAAATGTAAAGTATATTTAGCTAGAAGAGAATGATGTAAATATTTATCTCAATCAACTTTTGCTCATTATCAACCTACACATCTTGAAGTTTGAACTTGCTCATAAAGTATATATCTCTGAGTAGGAATCATATAATTTAATTTTTAAGGTTATAAAAAGTTTATTTTCTTTTCTATTAGCTCTTAATAATTTCATTAATGGAGCACAGTTAAGTCGCATGGTTGGCAATGTTCCTAAATCACAGGATAGAAATTACTAGTGTGGTGAGTTGAAGGATTGAAAGGAATAGAATCTGTGGAAGTAAGTTGATTGATTTTAGGACAATGACTTGTAATTCTTCAAAATTTCAAGGAATGGACACTTATTAATGATCGACCATAGTCAATCGCAATCGGCTCTTCCTTTCAATAAATTCTTTACTAAGATTTGAACGTTAACTTGATGAACTTTAATTATATTTTTCCACCACTGCTCTACCAAGATATCTTACGAATTCTCATCAAATGTACAAACCTGCTGCTTCCCACCAGCATAATAGATTCAAAAAACAACCTAAGGGGGTTCGCTTATTACGTTCGCATTTTTGGGAGGAGGGGGTTTGAAAAATTGTATCAAAATGTAACATAGGGGGGGAGGGGGTGTTTTTTTGCGTAACGTAATAAGTGAACGGCCCCTAATAGAACTATCTAGTAAAGCAAATAAATCATAATTTAGAATTTTTTGGCACATTCCTCACATAACATAGATACTTCTAGCGGTTTATTGTTCAGTTAAACTAATTTTTGTAAATGGTACTTCCCATCAACAACATCAGACATTGAGTACAATGTAAGCACATTTTCATTTACAACTCTATTTTCCTCCCTTGTGGCATCTCAACATAATGAATTTTCATGATGTTGATGATGATGATGCTGCCGTACATACAACAGCATTACAGAGACTAAATGTTCTTTTCACAAACCACAAACTGGTTCATGGATGCACCACATAATGCCGAAATGTTGTGACTTTTAAAACTGTACAATATTGAACATGCATGAAGATGATGATGATACTAAATGAAAGGTGCTTTATGATTTAATTAATGTAGAAATGAATGAGAGTGAGAAGTTTTTAGAATGGCTGATGTTTTATGGTGTATACATTGCAGTCTGATGTTTTTAGGGGATTTTGGTGATAAAATGAGTGCAGTGGTTTGGCGCATCCTCACTCGTTAAACTCTCATTAGCTACAAAACACCCTAGCGCACCTCTGGATCACAACTGATCTGAATTGGTAAAGATTTT